AAAAGGAAGATTTTGACAGAGACAGACATAGGGAGAACAACGTGGAAATACAAGGTAAAGGTCAGCCAAGAAACCCCTGAGGCTACTAGAAGCTAGCAAAGAAGTCAGGAACAGATTCTCCTTTACAGCTCTGAAAAGAAAAACTCTGTGGATTGCTTAATTTCAGACTTTCCAGTCTCCAGAACTGTGAGACAATGCATTTCTGTTTTGTGGTACTCTGTGGTATTAGGAAACGAAGACATGGGCTAAACTGCTTTAAATTATCAACAGGGTAGTAAGCGCTGTGACTTTTAAAACCTCTTTTGCAATGTTCATTTAAAATTGCATTGACTCACCTTCAACAGCCCTTCTCTTGCCGGATCAGAGGTTCTTATTGCATCTTCCGTGGACCACCAGGATTCCTTTATGTAAACAGCCACAACTAGAGGGGAAGCCAAGAGAGGATAATGTGCACACAGCAAACTGGCCAACAGATGGGCAGCTTCACAGCACAGAGCCACTGACAAGGTGCAAAGGGAAGATGATTTGTGGGGAAAGCAGGTGATATTTTTAGAGCTGAATTTACTGACCAAAAAAGAGCGACCACTCTCACATGAAGAGGACTTCATAGATGTTTCAGAGGTGGGCTGTTGTTGATGCCAAAACAGGACACATCGCAATGTTTGGGGGCGCAGCAGGGTACACACCAATACTGACAAATCCAATGAGTAAGAATTACTTTTTTTTTTTTGAGTCAGAGTCTCGCTCTGTTGCCCAGGCTGGAGTGCAGTGGTGCAATCTTGGCTCACTGCAACCTCTGCCTCCCAGGGTCAAGCAATTGATCTGCTACAGCCTCCCACATAGCTGGGATTACAGACATGCACCACTACGCCCCGCTAATTTTTGTATTTTTAGTAGAGATGGGGTTTCACCATGTTGGCCAGGCTGGTCTTGAACTCTTGACCTTGTGATCCACCTGCTTTGGTCTCCCAAAGTGCTGGGATTATAGGCGTGAGCCACTGCACCTGGTCAATTGTTGTATTTTTAGTAGAAACAAGGTTTCACCATGTTGGCCAGGCTGGTCTCGAACTTCTGACCTCAAGTAATCCACCTGCCTCGGCCTCCCAAAGCGCTGGGATTCCAGGCATGAGCCACCACGCCTGGCCAATTCTTTTCATGTTAAAAACACTTATCAAAGTCCAACCACGTGCCACAGCCCAGAATTTCCCCAATTAAGCAAAATTCAACATGGGCTAAGGTCGTTAAACAAACTGCCTTAATATCTGTGTATTGAGCCATCACTGTGGCGCTGGGTTAGGTGCTGCCCTCTTTTACATGAGTTTCTTTCCTTCTCACCATGACACTGTTACCAGCATTTTTCTAAGGAGGATGACTGAAGTTCTGCGAGGTGAAATGACTTGCAGGCAGCCAGCTAGAAGGGACTGAGGTGGGGTGCAGCCCTAGGCCAGTGGACTCCTAAGTCAGTGCTCCTTCTAAGAGGCTGGAGATGGGTCCAGTGTTAAGAATGGGGTGAATCACATGGGGTGGAGGAGGTGTCTTTGGATGAGAAAGTCCTGGGGCTAAGATTTACAGGAGAAGGGCAGGGACATCTCCCCTCCTCCCCCGTCCCCTACCCCAAGCATCCCCAAGGCCTGCTGACTCTGCCTCAGAAGCAGCCCTGGCACCATTCCAAGGGTAGACATGGGCCCTGCTGCTCAGCAGAGGAGACCTGAACACGACTTCAACTTCACTAAGCCCCACACTCCTTATCTTAGTTGCCCAAACCGATCACCCCAGGTGGCTGGGGAGTTCCTATGAGGATCCATACTGAAATGCCCAGCATGGGGCCTGGCACATGGGAAGTGCTCAGAGTCTACTCATCAATGAGTTGATTTCTCCTCCTCCCCTCATGCTGCCATCACCATGTTCCATCAGTTCCTCCCGCTGCCTCATACCAAAATCTATCCTCCTGGTTCCAGCCCCAGATCCCAGCTGGGTGAGGCCACCACCATCTCCACTGACGGCTGAGACAGCCCATCACCCAGTCCCCATCTCATTCTCCCCTGACAATCCATCCCTACTGAGTGGTCGCTCTAAATCCCATCATGGTCTCCGCCCCTTGTCTCCACTTGGCAACCTTCCTTTCCTTGCTTAAAAACTACATTTTTTTCTTTTTTAATTTTTTTCCATTTTAAATTTTTTTGGGTACATAGTAAATATATATATGGGATATATATATGGAATACCTGAGATGTTTTGATACAGTCATGCAATGCATAATAATGGAGTATCGGCTGGGCACTTACGTCCGTAATTCTAGCACTTTGAAAGGAAGAGGTGGGCGGATTGCTTGAGCCCAGGAGTTTAAGACCAGCCTGAGCAACATGGCAAAACCCCATCTCTGTGAAAAATACCAAAGAATTAGTTGGGTGTGGTAGTGCATGCCTGTCATCCCAAATACTTAAGAGGCTGAGCTTGGAGGATCACTTGAGCCCTGGAGGTTAAGGCTGCAGTGAGTCATGGTTGTACCACTGCACTCCAGCCTGGGCAACAGAGTGAGATTCTGTCTCAAAAAAAAAAAAAAAAAAGACAAAAAAATGGTGTATCTGTCCCCTCAAGCATTACATCCTTTGTGTCACAAACAATCTGATTCTATTCTTTCAGTTATTTTAAAATGTACAAGAATCACATTTTAAACACCAAAGTTACTTTGGTTGTTTTCTGGTGTCTTTTTTATACCCCTTTGATCATTATTTTTATATCTGCTTCTCAAGCCCAGTATCTGAGCCTGAGGGTTCCAGAAGCCACAGAATTAGAAAAGAGGCCTCTTCCCAGTTAGACCTTTTTAGATGGAGATTTTTGTAGGAAAATGTGATGGAGTAGAAAACAAAAGAAGTTGAACATTTCACATAAGCCTCGAGATTTTAAAACAAATGCGGACCACTCGGGGGCAGCTGCCGCAGCCTTTCTCTCTATTCCTCTCTGATACTGGAGGAACTTTAGTAGAAAACTCTGTGAAGACCAAGCTACAGTGGTGTGATTGTTAATAGCGAGTGTCAACTTGATTGGATTGAGGGATACAGAGCATCAGTCCTGGGTATGTCTGTGAGGATGTCACTAACAAAAGAGATTAACATTTGAGTCGGGGGCTGGGGAACGCAGATCCACCCTTAATCTGGTGGGCACAATCTAATCAGCTTCCAGCAAATATAAAGCAGGCAGAAAAACATGAAAAGGAGAGAAGCGCCTAGCTTCCCAGCCTACATCTTTCTCCCATGCGGGATGCTTCCTGCCTTCAAACATGGGACTCCAAGTTCTTCAGTTTTGGGACTCGGGCTGATTCTCCTTGCTCCTCAGCTTGCAGACAGCCTATTGTGGGACCTTGTGATCATGTAAGTTAATACTTAATTAAGTCCCCTTTATATATATCTTTACATATACATAAATGTATATATATAAATAATAAACTCACATGTATATATAGAACAGAACTAATAGGAGATATATATCTAAGAGAACCCTGACTAATACAAGTGGCATTAGCCAGGTATTAAACATTAACTCTGCATAGCCAGCTCCTCCTCCCCAGAGACCAACAGCATGTAACCCACCTTGTCAGTTTCACATGGGTGAATTATATCATCTCTGACAATGGTTCCAGAATTGATAGAGCCAGCTGGGAGCAAAGAGCCAATTAAATGCTTGACATCTGCCTTCATTTATTCAACTCAATTCACTTCCAAAATGGCCTACTAGAACTTCCAGGAGCTTTACAAGCCATAAGGATTTATTTTCCTGCTTAACAAGGTGAAGCAACAAAAGCTGTTGAATTTACTAATACGCTGTATTCCTGTAATACAGATGTTCAATTTGCTAATACAGTTTCAAACAAGAAATGTGTTATGACTTGGTGCTTATGTGGTACCTTGCAAGTTTCACGGTGCACTGCGGAGCATTAATTAGTCACACAAGTTGTCACAAATAAGATAGAACTGTTGTTTTTTTCAAAACTCATGCTAAACTGCTAAGTATACATAACAATGAAACTGAAGTCCAATCACATATAACAGTTAAAAACTGCCCTCAAAACCAACTCTTGGAAAATAGGATCAGCCTTCTGGAGAGAAGCAGCTTTTGATCAGTGAAGTATAATACCTCATCCAGAGAACACAGGAGAGAGACATGGTGAGGCAGCCCTTGGAGAGACGCTGTCCCCAGCTCAGCAAGGACAAATGATGGCTCCTGGGATGCTGACAGGTGCCACAAAGCCAGCCTCAGGGCATCACTGCTGAGACCCTGCAGCCAGCAACCTCCAAGGGTTACAACTGGAAGTCACAACATCCTTGTTTTTAAAAAGGGTCCTGATCAGTCATCTCCACTAAGGATTGAGAAGAGCCTGGACACCTACAGAGGGATGCACTGTGCTGAGAGCCATCAGGAGAGCATTGTGAAGAGCCAGCCTTACCACGCCAATTTAATTTCCCTGTCCCCGAGTGACAGGTGACATGGACCACAGGAAGATGTCAGTAGTGGATTTTATTCTATGACACTCCAAGGTCTCCCAAACAAGTTAAGACAGTGAGGTCCCTAAGGCTAATTCCTAGAGGCCTGGATTCACCCCGCGCTCCACCTGATCCACTGAATTTAACTCTCCATGGCTGAGTTCCCTACTGTGTGACGGGTGCTGTCCTGGGCCCCAGGAGCTGATGATTAAGCTGACATCTTTGTCCCTTGGAGTTGGGAGCCCACAGAGAAGGAGAGCATTAAATAAGCTATTCCTGTACAGGGCAGTGAGTGATCAGTACTAGAATCGAGTTTCACAGGGACCAAGTGGAGGAGGTTGACTCTGCGGAAGGGAATTGGGAAATCATCCCCAGAAGCTCCACCGACTCTGCATCACTGGGTGAGGTTTCGACAGACAGAGACAGTGGGGAGGGCTGATGCATGCAACCTGTGAGCAGAGGCACAACGCCCGGTAAGACCCGGGCCATGTTTCAGGGCATCCTAAGTGGCAGGGGGAGCCGGGTGAGGTCTAAATATGGGAGAGACTGGGCTGCAAACAAAATCTCAGCAAAACATCAGCTTCATCCACTCAAAAGTCTCTAGCTAATGTCAGCACCAGTGGGGAGTAAGATGACTCGAGGCATTTTAGAAATGGCTCTACATACTGTCCATGGCATAGGAAAAAGAATTGGGACCTCAGAGCCAGACAGGGCTCAAATTCTGGCATCTCCAGTTACCAGTTGCATGATCTAAACCCAGCCCCTCCCCAGCTTTGATTTACCCACTTGTCAAATGGAGGCCACAAAATCCTCTTCTATTGTTATAATGCAAGGTAGGTGAGAGAGTTCATCTCACCAAACTGCTCTTCCTTTGGTGTCTGAAGCATTCCAGTAATTTCTAGAAAGTTCCTCCACCTGCTTCAAACATTGCTCTGGGATT